ACCTATTGGCAGTTCCCTCACTGCATTGGTGCATTGGATGGGAAAAATGTCTTAATTCGTCCCCCACCCAACAGTGTTTCATACTACATCAACTATAAGCATACTTTCAGTATTGTATTGATAGCCTTGGTAGATGCAGACTACAAGTTCACATATGTCAACATAGGCTGCAATGGAAGAATCAGTGATGGAGGAGTTTATGGGAACTCAAGTCTTTGTTCTGCATTAGAAAGCAATACACTAAACATACCTTGTCCAACACCTCTCTCTAATGATAAGATTCCCCTACCATACCTGATAGTAGCTGATGACGCCTTCCCACTAGAGCCCTATATTCAGAAGCCATATGGGCAAGTTAGGTTGACAAAGAAAAAACGCATTTTTAACTACAGATTGAGTAGGGCCAGAAGAATTGTTGAGAACGCTTTTGGTATTCTGGCAAACCGTTTCCAGGTATTGATGAACCCACTGAGATTAGCTCCAGAAAAAGCAGAAGTTGTGGTTCTAGCCTGTTATTTGTTACATAATTTTTTTGCGATCATCATTATCACGCAATATTTATTCACCACCAGGCAGCTTAGACACAGAAGATTTCGCTACACATAGTACTATACAGGGCTCATGGCGAACTGAAAAACTGGCGAAGGACTGGTTGAAATTGAGAAACAGGGGAGCAATAACTACACTATCAAAGCAAAGGAAATAAGGGAATATCTATGTGAATACTTCAACTACATGTGTATGTACTTCATTATAATAATAGATGTTGAAAAATAATCAAACTGTCAATTAAAAATACATGAGCGTTAAGCCAGGATGAAAATACATTAGTAATGCCAAGTGTTTGACAAGACATAAATGCTTATTTCCTTTAGTTTCTTTCAATATTTCTAGAAAAAAATTCACACTATCGTAATGCATCATTTTAAAAAATAAAATCTTACCTAATAATCATTTTTATTGGGATACAGATTACATACATAAACATGCACAGTGCCGCTATTCATGATCTACAAAAATAAATATGAAATTTATAAATCCAACATTAAATTTTTAATATTAACTATAAATCCAAGGCTATAATAATCTTATGACTAATATTAATGTTAGTTTGCACATTCCATCAAATTATTGCTTAAAGAAGAAGGTGCACTATGAAACTATCCACGCAACGTCATAAAATCGCTTCCGCCCGTCACCGTATAAAAGGAGGTGCCCTGGGCACAATATGGCGGCTACATTTGAAAATAACAAAATGGCTCTCGCACTGGCACCGTTCTTATCATGGCTAAATCACTAGCAAAACGCATTGTAAAAACATTAACATTAGTAAAGGCGAGAGAGTTAACCTACAAGCACAGGTAGAAAGCATGGCAAGAAGAGAAATGGTATAATTGACTTGAAGTAATAGTTTTTTACATTATTATCAAATATTTATATTGTACATTCTGAAAATCTGTCAACAGCCTAACAAACTTGGTCAATAATGCTATCAGGCAGGTTATAAGTGATAGTGGCAAAGGAATAGCCCTCATTACTACATAAAAACCAGCCCAGGAACTGCCACCACTGGGACCAAAAGGCCTGGCCGACTACCAATTATCAGCCACCCTCATCAAGTAGAAGTGGTTACAGCAAAGACCCCCACTTGGTCCTCAATCAGATCCAAGTCTGGTAGCAGTTGCAACATTCAACGATCCACTGGAAGTAGTAAATACAAAAATTATATTATTCTAAATTATTAAGCATATACAATAACAGAGTTGAATGGATATGGGGATGGTGAGAAGCTTCCTGTAGTTGTGTACATCTTCCCAACTGTACCAAGTAATGCCGATCAAAATATGGCAGTACTGTGATGGTAATATACAAACACAAGTATATGCTAGTATGATCCTAAAAAATATTAATGCCAATTAATGTATGATTACTTTACATTCACATTATACTTACTTCTGTATCTACTGCATAATAAACTTGAGTTATGATTACAGGACTCAACTATCCTTGAACTGAAATGCAGCACAAATCACATGACTTATATTATAATAATAATAGTACTAATATAAATAAATATAATTTTGATAATTATTATAATAAAATAATAATAATAATAATAATAAATAATACCTGACTGTAATTCATCACCCTTCGGTGAACCATACGACACTATCACCAGCATGTGCGTCCCAATAGCCGATCCTAAATCTATGCACAAAATGGCTGCTCTTCGTCCCCATTACCAATACCTTATTTTATATTAATACTAATTTCAAACACACGATACCTACCTGAAGTATTGAGTATCACTAGTATCATGTGATAGAGCCTCTAAATGACCCTCTTTCCCAACTAAATCAGCAAGTGAGACAGCATTTCTAGCGCCTTCTTTTAGTGCCTAAATACCCCTTAACTTGATCAAGCCTAACTAGAACTGGTCCTTATCTTCTTTGAGAGTAAAATGTAACTCAATTTGGTAGCAAAACCCGTCTCTGCCTGAGTTTTTCCTTGAAAAAGCAACATCATCGAGAGCAGACATTTTTACACGTGAGAAAACAGATGCCACCATGCCCAGGGCCCCGCTTTTTATACCGCACCTTCTCGTTTAATCATCAAATCCTTTTCAGCTGTCATTACCTGTAAAGCATATAATAACATATCAAAAGCAAGCAATGCAAACACACTTCCTATTAATAACAATAGTACAAACAATAATCACACCAATCACATCAGCTTTTGGATTCCTTCTAACTCCATTATCAGGGGCGTCGCTGGCCTTGAAAGATTGGTAGGGCACCAGGTCTATAAAAGAGAAAGAACCTTTTCACGCGCGAAGCGTGCGAAAAATTTAGGCGTATCTAATTAATATTCATTATGGGTGTGATCAATTTTGGTCGATTAATTGATTGATTAACTTTTGGCGCCCAAAATTCATAATGGCGTTCATTTCCAGCAATAAATTGCTTAACTATCGACTGTATTTCTACAATATGAGTCAGTTGTTGGTGTGTGTGAAGAAGTAAGCAGTGATTGAGTCTTTCTTGGATGGTTATTAAATGAATTAACTTGAATTAATAACTAATTTTGATAAAAAATGGCTACTGATATTCAAAATATTGGTGGGGCAACTGCCCTACCTGCCCATTAGGCATCGACGCCTCTGATTATACATACTAAATTGAAAATATAATTGCATGCATGATAATCATCAAACACTACAAGTACAAGAATGCACCAATAATCCACTACATGTACAATACACAGTGATAAACATGTACATGTATATGCAAAATACACATTATATTTGTCACAAACATACATTACATACCATTAACAAGATGCAGCAGCTCACATAGAGGAATGTCTCCTTCACCTTTTGAGTCTCATTCCATGTCAGACCCCACTCGATAACACAACATTGCCAAGTAAGTACCTGTATAAATATAAATGTGATACACTAAATATTAATGATAATGGTAGCATCTACAATGTTTCTGATTGGATCATACATGTATGTGCATACATGTATTTTAGACATAATTTTGCTTACTAATGCTATCCTCAGTTAAGATACTTTTATGACCTGCTTAATATACATGTATAATAACATTATATACATAAAGAATTTCCAATGTGCAATCAATAATTTTTTTGTTAATGAGAACATGCACATGCTATAACAATCATCAACAAAAGATGCGCAACATCAGCTGGCAAGCATTTAATATGTGCACAGC